GGGCACTACTTTCTTCCATCTTTCGGATAGCGTACGAATCCCGCGTCGAAAAAACTGGTTATCTTTTGAGGCTATCCACGAATCGATCCAATTTTTTACTTCTTCATAAGACCGGAAGTGCTGGTCATGCCGTGTGCCATTGATCGAAACAAGTGATAGTCAGAGGGAGCAACGTCTGGAGAATACGGCGGATGGAGTAGGACTTCCCATTTCAACGTTTCCAAGTATGTCTTGATCACTTTCGCAACATGGGGTCGAGCATTGTCATGTTGCAAAATCACTTTATCGTGTTTCTCGTTGTATTGCGGCCGTTTGTCTTTCAATGCTCGGCTCAAACGCATCAATTGCGTTCGATATCGATCGCCTGTGATTGTTTCAGTTGGTTTTAAGTTCATAATACACTGCCGAGCTGGTCCCACCAAATACAGAGCATGACCTTGGACGTCAAAATCACCGTTCTTGAAGCGTTGAAACCACTCACGACACGTTCTTTCACTAATAGCGGCCTCACCATAAGTATTTGAGAGCATTCGATGAGCCTCAGCCGCAGATTTCTTCATATTGAAGCAAAAAATTAAAACCTCCCGCAAATGACGAGAATTTGGCTCGTAAACTGACATTTTCAATCGAGAATAACTTTATGATGCAGACATAAATCGACTAATGTTTCTATGGGGTTATGTTGACAGATGCCCAAGTTTATTGTATGACGTCTATGATCTATTTATTTCGACCATCACTTATCGCTAAAGCCATCTATAGGAAAACGGCGGAAGCAAAGTTGTACACCTAATACTTAAGAAATAATACAGATCTATAAAGTGCATATATATAAAAAAATATTTTATTTAATAAAATTTATTTTTTATGAAGTAGTAATGAGATGGCGCTGAAGTTAGGTTTTGCACACGAATATGATCAAACGGTGATAAAAATATGAGTATTGTTGGTCTGAAAGCAAAAAATAGCTTTTTCTTAATGAATAGACTTGTAATTCTCGCCTAAACTAGGATAATTAATATGACATGCATATTTTCAAAATGTCGAAATGTCAGTTAAATATACTCCCAAACGAATTCTGCCCTAAGGAACTCAAGCCTACATAGTAATTTTTCGAACAAGTGTCCCTTCACACAATTTACTAAATACATCTTCTTTTTCAAATACCTCAGAAGCTTGACTTCCCTCTCCCGGTTTCGATATTGAAGCACAACACAACGCTTTTTGAGCGAACGGTAGGTCCTCGCAATTCTTCAGCAACGGAATTTTCCTCCAGAACACTCCCCCTTTTTCTAGCAACTCCTCCCCTTCGGCGAACTTTTTCCTTTAATAATACTTTTCACTTAATTACTGAACTCATTAATTTTTTGCAAATGCACGAATGACGCAGGTAAAATTATTAGCACTATCCTTTCACTCATCTCAAATGCCATCTCTCAGCCCCCTCCTTCTATTTTTCCAACAATCATCATTCCAATATGTCTTCAAATTTTATCTATAATGTTCGTCATTATAATAACTTCTCTGTTAACTTCTCATCTAACCACATTTCTCCTCCCATGCCTGTCCAAGAAGACAATTTTCGGATCTACATCACTCTCAAAATTTTTCTTACGTTCCCCCTCTCCGATAACTTCGGAACTTCCTTACTATAACAAATATCCCCGCAGCGACTCTAGGAACTTTTCTAAAGACCTTAAACTATTACAGTGGAATTACAAGGGCTAGATATAATCTGGCCTCTCTCCAATCCATTTTTCAAACATCATTTGTTTGCAGGAATCTCTGCTCAAACCCGACAACATCTTTAACATTCGAGGCTTCATAGCCTCATTAGATTAGACTTTTCTCAATCTGGAGATAGAAGCGTCTGTATCCTAATCAAAGAAAATTTTGAAGCGATTAATCTTCCTTCTCTTTATCATCCGTCTGTAGAATCAAACTTCATCAAACTTCTTTTTCCTAAGGATTCCATTATTATTGTTAATATCTATAGATACTCAGATCAAAACATCCCCTCGTCCTTTTACTCAGACCTCATAAATCAATTTCAAAAATTTAAGCTATTCTTTATCGTTAGAGACCTCAACGCTCATCATCATGAATGGAGATGCTACCAATATCAATTTCAGATGCCAAGCTTCTCAAAGATATCAAGGATATCCCTTAATTATTCTCAACAAAACTTCTTGCACTCTCGTTCATCCCTTATCTCATTCTACTATTAATGTTGATCTTGTCATTGCATCTCCTCTTTTATTCTCTTTAACTCTTTGCAAAACTCGAGTTGAAACAGATACTTATGGCAGTGATCATCGTCCGATTATTACGGAATTTCAATTTTCACCTCAATACTCATTTAAATTTTGCTACAAACCACACGACTTAGATAATCTCTATTTATATCTTAAGTCTAACGCTTCAGACGTCCTTTCGTTTACGGACGTTTCTCCATAGCTCGTTATAATAAATTTTCCTCGTTCATTCTAGAATCTGCTAGAAATTTGTCCCTGTTAATAAAAGACTTCCGCGCAATCAGGTTTATTCAAGACGGCCTGATCCTCCCCCTGGTAGAACAACGTGCGTTCCCAAGTCGTTGATCAATGAAAGTGTGCCCTCAAAGAATTCCTCAAACATCCTTCCCGAAATTTATTTCCTTTTCAAAACCTCCTGCTCTCAAATTTTAATTCACAGCATTCAACCTTAACAAGCGCACTAGCTGGCGTAAGTGAGTGATTTCAGTGATCGTACCCCCCATCCGCACAGATCTGGTCCCTCATCAAGAGTATCAAACACAAAATCTCCGGTAACGATTTGAAATTTCAGCAAAGTTCTAATGATACGATCTCTAAACTATGTTCTCCTTCCTGCTTCCCCAATTTTACGAAGTCCATAAAAGCCATGCTGCAGGAAGACCCATGTTTTTTCCCGGCTCAATGACTTTTTCACCCTTGACGGAAGATAAGACTCCTCTTACAAGGGCCTTATCTTCCGTCCGAAAATCCTTTTCTCTTGGACTCGACCAAATTGATTACTCTATCATTCTCAATCTACCCCCTGAATACTTAGACTCTCTTCTAGGAATTTTCAATGATATCTTCGCTCTCGATGTCTTTCCGGACTCATGGTCTGACTCCCTTGTCGTCCTCATCGTCCTTTTCTAAACCAGGTGTCTCATCAGTTAGATCTATCTCATGATCTCCTGTTTCGCCAAACTTATGGAAAACATTTAATATACTTTAGATTTGTATGGTATATCGAATCTCGCCCCATAAATTCAATCAGGATTTAGGTCATTCTTGCGCAGATAATTTGGCCACACTTATCATCAACGTTAGATCTGGTTTTTTGAATCAATCTCCCACTGGCAATTTTCATTGACATTTTGGACGCCTTCGATAACGTTGATCCGCACATACTTGTTAATGACTTTCTTGTTATAAGTATTTCAGTTTACATCAGGAAATTTATCGAGAATTTCATTGGCAGACAACGCTTAAATTTCGTGATCAACGTTGATAGGCCCCTTTGATTCATTCAAAGGCACTCCACAGCTTTACTCTCAGCCCCCTTCTATTTATTTAATATCTACCTCAAGGACATGACCTCTCAGATACACACTAATGCCAATTTACTACAATGCCGATGATGCTGTCGATGATCCCCTATTCTACGCAACGGAATGTCAATGATTTCAAATTTGTTCAATACTCGCTTAATAATATTTACACATACATGAGAAGCAGAGGTTTGGACATCTCCCCCACAAAATCCAAGTGGATCATTTTTAGCTGAACAAGAAGAGGTTTCTCCTACTTCCTCTTTACATCAATAATCAGAAGATCCCTAGGGTGAACTCACATCGCTTTCTTGGAGTCATATTGGACCACAAACTAAACGGCAGACTATACCTTAAGTATCTCATGAAAAAAAGCAAAAACATCATCAATATTAACAGGGCTTTATCGGGAGTTTCATGGGGTTCTTATCCCTACTCACTATCTATCACACTCCACTCTTGGTAGCTCGATCGAATACGGCGGTCAATTTTTCACTTGGAACACTAAATCTGCGAATTTCATTAAGCTTCTCCGAATTCAATACAAAACTATCAGAAAAGCTATGGAACATCGCATTTTCACTCCCATTAACACCATGTTATGTGAAGCGAAAACCTCTTCTACAACTAGATTTAATCTCGCCATTTCAAAATCTACAGATCTACAGATCTATGGCTTATAAATTTAGTGCATCTTATTCAGCCCTAATACAAATGGAGCTTATTGCTTTCCGCATGAACCGGAAGATTGAGGCCATTCAAAGTTCCAACTTATTCAAGATATACATCACAAGCAGATACTCAGAAAAATTCATTCACCATTTTCATCATCCGGCAGTATTCTGGCATGATTTGGAAGTTTTATTCTACAAGATCACCTATATTAGCGCCATGCTTGGTTGTGACAAGGAGGATCTATAAGGATTTATTGCTGCCCAATTCCTCCATAAGTCTTTTGATTACGGATAAAACGCAGTCACTTTTTACATGGACAGTTCCAAGGAATCCGGCTATTCTGTCGGTGCGGGAGTCTTTTCTCCCGATTTAAACATCAACATCGCATATAAACTTCCAGTTGAAACGTTCATCTTTTCTGTTGAACTCTGGGCGATCTACCAAACCAACCTATCTTGCTCGAGATTCCAAGCATGATCGCATAACCATTTTCAGCGACTCCAAGAGCGCCCTCGACGCCATCTACAACAATAGGTATTATCAGCGCAATTACATAATTTATTACATCAAAGGCCATTCTAAGCGCAGCTAAGAACATCTTCATCTCTCTTTTTTGGATTCCTTCCCACTCTGGTATTCCGGGAAATGAAATTGCTGACTCTATTGCCAAGGAAGCTGCAAAGATTCTTCTCCCAATTTTCGTATTCCACATGAAGATTTCTTCTACGAATCCAGGCTGCACTACAATTTAATAACTCTCAAGACAATGGCTTCTACTAAAGGCACACTTCACTTCGAGCGCTATTCATCCATCTCTAAGAAAACTTGGTTTGAGGGAACCTCTCAGCAGAGAGAAAATTGTGATTAATCGTCTGAGATCTAATCACTACAATTTAAATGAAAGCTTGTATAGAGATAACATGATTGAATCCCCTTCTTGTTCTTGTGGAGCAATAAAGCAAAATATCAATTATATTTGAATGCAACCTTTACAGTCATAAAGCTCTCCACCTTCTTATTTACGTAACAAATATCCTAACTCTCCTGAAGATGTCTTTCCTTTTCTTTCCCAGCCTCCTCCCCAAGTTATGCAGGCTTCTCCTAGCTTTTATAAAAGCTAGCGAACTTTTCTTTTAAATTTTCCTCTCCTCCTGTGGCGCGCGACTACCGCTAGATGGAAGAAGGCGGAGGAAAGTAACCATCAATCAAACATATACTACACTTATATGTGTTCCGTCTAAAGTATTTTATATCTAATGACGAAGAAGTCCTCAATGATCCAGTATCAGCCTGCCTGGCTGCCGGACCAATCAAGAAGAAGAAGAAGAAGAAGAAGAAGAAGAAGAATAGTCAGGCCTTTAAGGAAGCTTTAAGACAAAGTCTGACTATGAATATTATTGTTCAAATGAATATGTGATTTTTGTTTATTTTTAAGATTGATATTGATAATGATCCATTAGGAGTCGAAACGCTTGTTATAATAAACTACTTGTTTTAGCCATAATTTAGCATAAAGACCTTGCTTAGCTTGTAGCTCTATTTTTATTATATTAACGACACTAATTTGAGTTTAATTGATGAGGGAATCGATTTCACATGCTTATTCCGCTTTATTCTTTTATACCCTTTTATAAAATTATTATTATATCTCTATAATATTTAGAAAATTTTATTTGTATAAATTTTTTTTAATTAGGTTGTATATGTAAATACTTTTCGAAGCTATAAGAAAATTGATGAAATTAATTATCCATTTGCATTTTAGTTTTGTTAGCAACTGATTATATTAATTTTGCAGTTTCATAAGTGAAATTCAGAACATCTTTGGTACCGTTATCTTCTTTCAATTCCTCTCGAATTGCATGATCATTTGTTTGATTGCCTTCAATGTATCGCAGGTAAATCCGATTGCTTTGATCGATTTATCAGCGAGTTTTCACGCGATCGATTGAACCGCAGATAAATGTTTATATTCCGGCGGTGCTGATCGGCATGCTGACATACATGTGTTGCATGACATACCAAATATTCATCTTCTGCTGGCATGGTAATGAATTGCATCTACATGTGAGTATTTAAATAAATATTCTTATATATAGATGTGCGAGAAAACATGCACGATTTTTAGAGTATGCGTTTAGTCACGGCCGCATATTCGAACAATTGGTTCTCCAATACCGAAAGATTCAAACGCAGTCTACAAATCATGATGATAAGGGCTCATCGTCCGCTTACCTTATGTGCCGGTAGAATCATGTTATTGTCTTTAGATACTTTTATGCAGGTATGTATATTTTTGTCCAGACATTTTGTTAAAACAAAATTCATTCACTCACACTATAAAAATCTAAATCTAAATGATGATATTATCTTTCTGATAATTGAACCTTTGAAAAGCATATGCACCATTTAATTTTCAGTGCAAATCAAAAGCTGCCTCCTCTACTTATTAAAATAATTCGTATATATCTTTATTTTAAATTGATCTTAAATAATATTTATTATCTGAATCCACTATAGTAATGGTTTTAAAATTAAACTGCTTTAAATTTTTAAATAGAATTCTAGGTCATTTGAACAAAAGCTCTTATATTTCAGATAATGCGGATGTCCTATTCGATTTTTACAGTACTTCAAGGATCAGCTGCTTAAAAACCAATTTGTTAATATCAAATTTCGTAGCTATGATATATTTTTTAAAACTACAAAGAGCAGCAAATAAAATATAAATGTTTTATTGAATACTGTATCATTATATATATGTACAAAAAAATATATAAAGTATATATAATATAAAATTTTTATATATAAAAATATTCTTCATATTGCCTATATCATTAAAACGAGAAAAAGAATTACAATCGTTTGTTTGATAAATCATACGATGTATCACTCTTATCATTTTATGTTAGTTCGATTTGTATATCACAATATTTTTACAAAATTTAGCTTAAACCTTTTAATTGATTACAGCGCTTCTACCATTACAGCGATACCTTGACCGCCGCCAATACAAGCAGAACCGATACCGAATTTTCCAGCTTTTCGCCTTCTGCAAGAAAAAAAAAAAAATATATATATATATATATAAATCAGAATATTAATAAAAATGAGTTGTTTTATCATAAGGTATGTTACCTAAGTTCGTGCACCAAATGAGCAGTGATCCTGCTACCGGAAGCAGCTAATGGGTGTCCTATAGCAATAGCACCACCATTTACATTCAGTTTATTCAGATCCAGATTAAGTTCCTTTGCACACGCTAAAGTCTGAGCGCCAAACGCTTCATTGATCTATCAAAAATTATATTAATTAATGCATGATAAGAATAAAATCTAAATTATATTTTTAATTACTTTTTATATTAATTATTTTCACATTTTTACATTAAAGATGCTATTTGATAGGTGAAATTTCTGTTGTATAAATTGCAATCTCACCTCAACGATTTCTATATTATCAAGTGTTTTGCTCGTAACTTTAAGTAAGTTCTTGATTGCTGGTGCAGGACCAATTCCCATAATGCTCGGCTCTACGCCGACAATACTATATCCTACTAAACGTGCCAATGGTTTCAAGCCTTCTGCCTTGATAGCTTCTTCACTAGCTAAAATAACAGCGCTTGCTCCGTCACAGACACCCTGAGAACAAAAATAAAGTCGAGTTAATTAGGTGGGTCGTTTGATAAGTTTGGTAAATTTCCATGAAATGGCGCTACAATCCATTTGATGACATTTCGAAAGATCCACTTTTCGAACCCCTTCAGGCCAAATTTCAGCCAGAAAGGACGCATAGTTCACATTTGATAGTCATTTGAAGTAGGCTGTCTCAAAGTCTGCAAAATACTCATTGACGGTGACAATGACTTCCTCATTTGACAAGAATTTGTTCCCACCGAGCCAAGTTTTTAAGTTTGGGAACAGAAAGAAGTCACACAGGGCCAAATCCGGAGAATAGGGTGGATGAAGAATCAATTCATAGCCCAATTCGTAGTTTTGTCATTGCAACGGTCGACTTATGGGACTGCGCGTTGTTTTGATGGAAGAGCACTTTTTTGCGCGCTAATCTCGCTTCAAATGACTACCAAACGTGAACTATGCATCCTTTTTGGCTGAAATTTGGCCTGAAGGGATTCGAAGAGTGGATCTTTCGAGATGTCGCGTCATCAAATGAATTGTAGCACCATTTCATGGAAATTTACCAAACTTATCAAACCCACGTAAATTTGGGAAAAATTTGGGATATAAAGATTGATATAAAAATTCTATCCATAAAATGTGAATAAAAGCATAGTACCGATGCAGAACCTGCTGTGACTAATCCATCTTTTTGAAAAACTGGTTTCAATTTGGCAAGTGTTCCTAACGTCGTTTGCGTACGTGGATGTTCGTCCACACTGACAGATGTATCCTGCTTCTTAATTTTTACTTGCACAGGCACTATTTCTTCGTTGAAATGACCCGCGTCGTTGGCTGTAATACGTTTTCTTAAATAGAGGCTTAAATTCTATAATCTAAATTTATTTAATTAAAGAAGAAGATTAATAAATTACAATTTTCATATTTAATTAATAGCTAACACATAAAATTTCATATTAAGTAAAATATTGTATCTACCAGCTTTCCAACGTTGCTGACTATTCAAAGCAAATTGATCGACTTCTTCTCTCTTTAATTTGTATTGAGTACCGAGTTTTTCCGCAGTCAGACCCATGGGCAAATTACAATAAGTATCAAGTAATCCAAGCCAAAGTGAGTCTTCGAATTCATATTTTTGGCCCAGGGCAGTGCCATAACGAACATTTCTTACAATAAAAGGAGCTTGACTCATGTTTTCTGCACCACCCGTCAAGACAATCTTTGAGTCTCCCATCAGAATATTCTGAAATGGAAAAATATAGTCACTATAGTGCTATATAATAACTTTAATTTCTGCAACTATTTCTTATTAGTAGAGGAGAAGGTAGTATTATGGTCAATGTAGACATAATCTTAAGTATAGGATTCCCTCCTAATACCTTCATTATTAGGTGATTAATATATTATTAGTGAATATATTAGTGATGAATATATTAGTGATTACTCATGGAATTATTTGTTTGGTACTCGCCGTTACGCATGATACTAATATACAATAGTCAATATATTTCATTTTTACTTTCTCAACATATTTTTACTTTCAAGCATTTGGAAACATTTTTAAAATACATTTTATCATTTAATTACACATGCTCTCTCATTCTTTTTAAACTTAAACATATTATTATACGAATACATGTATATATTAAATACATGTATATATTAAATGTGTTTCTTTAACACTTTATGTAGCTATATACATTTCGACTCAAGCATAGCAGTGTTTGTAAAGTGCTAAAAAAGCACTTATATACTCTTTTTCAGCACTTTCTTAACACACTTTGTAGATACTTTATCAGATTTACACATCTTCGAGGTGCTTGATTAAAGTCTTCCATGCGGTAAATCTTGGGTAATGCTAACATCGGCGGTACTGAAATTTTAAAATCTCATAACTCAGGAAAATCGCAACTAAAGAATTTGTAACCAGTGTTTCGAAAATGCCTTGAGATGACCTACAAGAATATGCAATAAAAGATATGGGTTCTCATTTAAAAAATTAAAATCGACTTTGACATAACCTTCACAACGCCATCAAAGTTAATCACACATGTTCATGTAATGCATTATTTCCCGAATAACTTTTGTCTGAAAGAATTTTCAAAATAACTATTTCCCTCGTTTTTAAATGGGATACAAACGGGATCTGAAACACCTAATTTTTTATTATTGTTCTCATCTCTATTGGATATTATTATTTGTTAGTTCTCTCCTCAATATTTATTACTATTTTAAGAGAATTATGGAATTCTTGGCTAACCTGAGCCCCGCTGACAATTGCTTGAAAACCAGAACCGCATAATCTATTTACACTAAATGCTGGTTTTTGTAACGGAATTCCTGACTTTAATAACGTATGCCTTGCCAAAAAAGCACCATCAGAAGATGAACTCTATAAAAAAAAAATTAAAAGTACGTCAATTCAGTTAAAAGACCAATGAGTGCATACCATTTCATGCATGATATGCATATTGCATCATTTATCCTTGTTTAACATTCGGTGAATAACAAGGATAAATGATGCATCAAGCGCATCATGAATAAAATGCATCCTAATTTAAATAATAAAAGTAAATAATAAAATACTCGTAATTGGTAATTATAAATGAAAACTGATTTACCACTAGAACGTGTCCAAATACAACACTGTCAATCTTCTCTGGTTTTAGGCCTGCTGCCTGTATTGCAGCAGTCGATGCAACAACTGACAAATCAGTTGCACTTTTGTTTATAAACATACCTCCCATTGTACCAAATGGAGTACGCTTTGCAGCAACAATAAAAATACCTGTGGAAAATTTCAAATTAATAATTCATTTCTTACTAATGTCCTATTTTCTTATATTTCAATTGATTTTAATTTTATATTTCATTAAACTACTAAAGTTTTAAGTGAAAATTATTAGATTTGTAAAAAATATGACACATGTACTCTAATAAACATCAAATATAACAGTACATTATATTCTACTTATAATGATACAATTTTTACCAAAACTCTATCAATTAATTCTATCAATTATCATTTCAGAGCAAATCAGAGTGCTATAGGAGTAAAAGCGCAGTTAAACACATTTTCCATCCATTTAAATTTTGTTCTATATCATATTAGGTGTTTCAGTGGAGACTAGACCAATAATATTATAATTTCCATTTTTTTTTAAATATTTTCTACACAATAATATAAATGTAACATACATATATGTAATAATTACATTATTAATGTAAGAAAGTATAGTATTAATGAAATGTTATTTTTAATTAGTGTTTACATACAGATAGCCACTTGCTATATTAAACTATCATATTAAACTATTTGCTTTTTTATATATTATTTTTATAATTATATGCTAAAGCATGTATGTTCGATAAGCGAAATTATATACCGTTTTCTTTTCGAAACATTATTTGTTTATCTCATTCCGACTAAACATTCCATCTAATTAAATCGATTTTCGAATTCAAATGATAGATGTCTATTTTCAATTTTATTTACCAATATAGACTAATTTTAATCTCGATTTAATTTACTGTTTATCTTCTTATAATTCTATGAACTAAAGAAAAATAAATAGTAAAATTTTTATGATGTAAACTGAAATC